GAACCACGAGGAGTAACGGTAGTTCAAACTAGGAAGCCTAGTTCGAACTACCTAGTTCGTGCCCCGTGTAGCCACGCTGCACGGGGTTCAAACCAGTGGGGTTTTAAAAATGGCGGCGCCCCGCTTATGCAAATGAAGCCCGGGAAATTCAAATCCCAGGCTTCATTTGCAAGTGCGGTATGCCTACATTACCCCGCTAGTTCGAACTAGGAGGGTAGTGTAGACATACCCAAGTTGTAAATGGCAACCTAAGGCCATATGTTAAAAACACCCTTAATCCAGGGCCGAGCTTTCTAAAGAACCCTGCTCCGAAGTAGATGCTGAAAAACGGGCCAGGTTTTCAGACGAACTTGGGTTGAGTGTTGTGCTCTTCTGAAAACTTTTGCGGGTCTCCGCGGAAGCTGGTCATCTGGCCCCGACTCTGACTGGGGAGCATTTGAAAAATCTGTCCCCACAGTCTTTTGAAAACCTGTCCCCGAATGGCCCAAATGTCTGAAGTGTTTATCTGCAGTAGCAGTGGAGGGTGCTCTGCACGCTTTGGGGAAACCAAGACAGATGCTTTTGGCCTGAAATGTGATTGTTTAATCTCATTTTTTTAAGGCTAAAAATCACATCCCTGTTTTATTTCATGTGTTGCTTCTGCTGCTGCTTCTAAATCAGAAGAACAGGCTGGGGCAAAAGCGCCTGCTGGAGTAACGAGTGTAATTTTGTTGGCCGGGTCAGCACTGCTGCTTCGGAGAATTTGGCCCTTCCTGGCTAAATTGGGCTCTTCCCCCTTCGGCCACTTGGCTCTGTTGTAATCTTGAGTGTTGCTGCTTTACTTCCATGGAAACGACTGTGCCAAACCTTCCCCTTCCGTTAGCCTTTCGGTGGCATGTGAGGAGAGAGGAAACCAGCTAGTTGGGGTGGCAGAACCGTCGTTTCTCAAGGAATGGGAGGAGAAGCCCGAGCGAGTGGTGGCCCAAGAGCGGGATGTCGCTGTGGTCTTTGAGAGGACAGCACATGGCTAAAGCAAATCAAGCTCCTCTTGGAGGAAAACAAAGATCTCGCCAAGGTGTTTCCAGTATGGTGAGGTCTGGTGGGAAACTTCAGGAGTCCAGAACATGCACTAAGCACCACAAAGCATCAGATTGAAAGTACAACCGTCCCTTGCAGCCTCAAGTCCCCTCCTCTTCCTAGAATAGCAGCTCTTTGTACAGATCATCCTGTAACCCAGATCCCAGAACTTACCCCATTCGTGATGGGTCAGGGACAAGTGCTCACACGGAGAAGTGCCCTCAGGGAAGTATTGCTGCATTTCAAACTTTTTCAGTGAGTCTTTGCAGCTGGGGTGGAGGAAGGGCCAGCACCGTGCGGCCAGCCAGTGCTTTGTGTGTCTCGGTGGGGACTTTTCTGTTGCAGAGGTGTTGACATTGCACAGTGCCCCTTGCAGGCCCTGATAAACCCGCATGTCCTTAAATCAGGGATACGTAGTAGGGCTGGTCAAAAATGTCAATCACCCTTTTTTTTCTGGTGGAAAATAGGATCTCGGTTTTGGCCAATTGCTTGACATAAATTTTTAGTTTCTGTTGAAATGGTGCATGGCTTAGTAATGGAAGAAGCCCCATTTTCTCATCAGCTTTAATATTTAGTTCCACCCCAGAGAAGATTGGTCCCAACTGGCCTTCATGGACAATGGCCTTGGGGGATGGGAAAGAAGTCGATTTTGCTGAGCACTCTTGTCTTCCAAAGCATGCCGATCTGTCAGGCTACGTCTAGACTGCAGGCTTCTTTCGGAAGAAGCTTTTCTGGAAGAGATCTTCTGGAAGAGCTTCTTCCGAAAGAGAGCGTCCACACTACAAAAGCGCAACGAAAAAGTGATGTGCTTTTTCGAAAGAGAGCGCTGTGATTGTCTGGATAGAGTGGCCACCAGGGCACCTCTGTTATTTCCTGGAGTTCTTTCGAAAGAACGGTCTTTTCTGCGTCCACACACGCCTTTTTCGGAAAAAGGCTTCTTCCTCGTAGAATGAGGTTTACTGCTGTCGGAAAAACCCTTCTGTTCTTTTGACTTTCCGTCGAAAGAACTCAATGGCAGTGTGGACGCAAGTCATGTTTTTCCAGAAACACTCTGCAGTGTAGACGTACCCCCAGTGAGCTGTTACCCATTACATGGAGGGATTGAGGCCTTCAAACCCAACAGCGGGCACAAGCCACACCACTCCTGTGGAAATGTATCCTGAGCGGGATTCCTGAGCTCAGACAAGCCTAGGACCATAGGGCTAGAAGGGGTTGCATGGGCCCTCTTGTCTAACCCCTGCCAAAGAGCAGGTTTGTGGTATCTAAGCCCTCCGAGGCAGATGGCTGTCCAGCCTCCTTTGGAAAACCTCCAGCGAAGGGACTTCCACCACCTCCCTGGGCCTCCGTTCTGTTGTCCAGCTGCTCTGACCGTCCCTGGCTTTGTAAATCCCAGCCAGGGGCTATAGCAGTGTTTCTCAAATGTTTTAAGACCGAGGAACACCGAACAATAATTTTCTTTTAGGAGGAACACCAAGGATTTTTTGTTGAGGGGAAAAAAATGGTGGGGGAGGGAGCAGGGAAAAATTACTAAACAAACAAACAAAAAAAGGGTGTGTGTGTGGGGGGGGGAGTTATTGAGCCAAAAAAAAAATTTTCTGCCCTTTTAAAGGCAGCCATTTTTAACTCTGTTGTTCTCCGCGGTACACCTCTGACTGCTTTGCGACACGCCAGTGTGCCGTGGAGCACCGCTTAAGAAACACTGGGCTATAGAGAGGCGTCATGCAGGGGTACAAATAGCGAGGGGCTAGCTAGTCCTTGGCTTTGGCTGTAAGGTTTCATATTGGACTTTCCTTTCCAGTGGCCCATGCTGGGTTAGCAGGCTGGGCAGTGCGCGTTTACACAGAGCTGCGTGCACACGGGTCAGATGAGACCTAGATTTGTAAAGGCACGTAGTCCCCTATTCCGCTGGATTTCAGTGGGAGTTGGGGACCTAAATACCGTTGGAAAAGGCTGGGCCTGTAGAACAGCAGAGAAGGGAGGTGCGAGGCTTGCCGATGGAGGGGAAGCAAGGAGTCTAGTCCAGCCAAACCGATTCTCTGCTCATGCTTCTCGTGTGATACAGGGAATGGGGGACACAGGCATGGGGCAGTGGAGATGTAAGAGGTGCGACACCCCCCATGCATTCCAGAGGTACCAATGGGATTTCTAGAGTGTAGGAGGATTCCGGTCCGTATGCTCTGAACTCAGTCCAGTCTAATGAGACATGCCTGGCATAACGAGCGCTATGAAAGCTGCTGGGGCATAAGAAAGAGGCAGACCCCTTGGGGTCTGGTAGAGCAGGGTATGGGTACGTCTAGATTACACGCCTCTGCCGACAGAGGCATGTAAACTAGGCTACCGACATAGTCAATGAAGCGGGGATTTAAATATCCCCGGCTTCATTAATATAAAAATGGCCGCCACCCTGTGCCAGCTAAGCTGATCGTCGGCACAGCACCCGAGTCAAGACGCGGATCGGTCGACAAGGGAAGCCTTTGTCGA